AGTTGTATCTGCAACTGTATTTGATAATGTTATGAACTTTTAAAATATTGCATGGTAAAAACAGAATCTGCTCTTCATATTAGTGACAAACTTTGGTGTTTTTTGACGAGTTACCTTCATTTTTGCTTCTACTTTTCATTTAAAATAGATTTCCATTATCATCAGGTTTCTAAGGTTCTTCTTCTACATATTAAAAAAGTTGTTAAACAACTGAGTGGCGCACTACTGCTACTAGTGGTGAGAAATTGTATTGCACCTTATTCAAAATCAATGCGTCCCACGGCCCTCTGTGGCCCGAAGTTAAAAACTGTTGTTCTTTTGAGGCCCTCAAGTTGGCGCTCGCGGCTCATGGGTTAAGAATATCTGCTTTAGCATATCAAAGAAGTTTGAACAGAATTATTTTACCACCTTTTGTAAAAATAAAACTTGATTTACTKGTTCAATCATGCAACAGGCAAACAGAAGAGTTGCATTTCTACTTTTCTGTCTCTWCTCTAATTTAACTAAAGCAAATAAAACCATTAACACACTGTCCAGAAAAAGCAGTTTTTTTTATAAAGCTCACCTTCAAATGCTGTCATAGTCACAGACTTTGACTACATTCTTGTTTAGTTGCTCAGTGTCTCTGCCCCAGACGTGTCTGGAGATCAGGGATTGAGAGATTAAAGCATCTAACTGAAGCTGTTTAATCAGACTTGCTAATCTCAAGACTGTTTCACAATGCTTCTAAGGAAGAAACAATACCAAGATCAACCCTGCAGGAATGTGTAACTATATCAGACTGTGAATAAATGCAGTCCCCTTTGAGATGTTGGAGTACTGCAGATCAAAGTCAGGACCAACAATATGTTTTAGCTTCTCCAGGGGATAAAACAGTCCTGGTGAAATTAAAAGCTTTAATTCTTTACGAAGTAAATGTAAAATGTGTGTGTGATTGCTTCTAGAAACAGATACAAGTGTGTTTGTGGTTTTACCTCCGAGGCACCTTGTCGAGAACCACTGTCTGAAGGCCACAGACACCCGTCCTGCAGAGAACAGCACAAGAGGTTGTTTGGGAGCAGGTTTACGTTCACTTCACTGATGTTTCTTCTTATTCATGTTCACCATTTTCAGTTTGGGTTACATTTTATCACACGTTGGAGTTACAGCTACTGATTTGTAATCTTGACCATCATTACAGGGCTTTTGTATTGAGACAATTTAATAAAACTAATGCAATAATGGAAAAATGTTTGTGAAAATACCAACTCCAAAAATGCACAACCCATTCTGGTTTTAGGCCACCAAAGTGTGAAAATACTTTTTTTTTTCCATCAGTGGGTTTGACTTGGGAAGATGTGTGCATTCAATTCTCAATCAGTACCACGTTTATTGTTTTATAAGTGTGAGAAAAATATTAATTATTTTGGTTGTAATAGTGTAGCAGTCCATTTAAAACTGATTCATTAAAACTAAGTTAAGAAGCAGAAGCATGGAGTGAAAAACTACTGATTTGTCTAATTGAAGAAGCAAAAACTTTAACACTTTGTATTCTTTCATCAAGTTTTCATACGGTTAGAGAAGACATCTGGTCCACTCTGGTCTTTGTTTTGGTAGCATTATTTTTGGCAGGGAGGTCCAATCCTGGTCCTCCATATCCTACATGTTTGACTTGTTTCTCTGCTCTAAAACACCTGATTCAGTGATTGTATCACCTCTTCAAGTTCTGCAGAAATATGGTAATCAYCCATTCRTGTAAATCAGGTGTTAGAGCAGAGAAACCTCTAAAACCTTCAGGATGGGGTCCCCTTGAGGACTGGACTCCCCTGGTCTATGCAGAGTCTCTTAAGGTTCTGTTGTAGGTTTGTTGATGTGTTTGGGATCATTGTTCTGTTGCAGCCAGGCTTCAGGCTTCAGACAGATGGTTCCATTTAACTCTAGAACACGTTGGTCTACAGAGGAGTTCATGGCAGACTCTGTGGCCACAAGCTGTCCAGGTCTGGTGGTCCCAAAACCAACCTACAACGTGGCCTGAATGCTCATCTTAGCAGCACAAACCCCTCATACAGACTTCTCCACTCTGCTCTCATCTGGTCAAAATAAGTCTTCACGTTTGGTTCTGGTTCAGATGTACTGMCATTATGTTTTTAGAAAGAAGAATCTTTATTTTGGCTAACCTTTTCATTTTTGTAAATGCACCTTTCAAAACTTTAACATTTAGCATTTTAACTGGGGAAAGTAGAGTTTGAGCTGTAGGGTTCTTTTGTAATTTCTCGTAGCGTGGCACAGTCTGACCTTGGACTGAACTGCTGAGTCATCCACTCTTGGGAAGATTGGCAGTTGGCTTAAATGGTTTCCACTTCTGAATAATCTTCATCTCTGCAGAATGATGGACTCTAAATTGTTTGTAAATGACCCATTATCTTTCCTAGACTGATGACTGGCAACATTTGAGACCCAGGAGACCCCGCCCCAGATCACTATGGCAGCTGGCCGAGTCAGAAAAGTTTACCACAAAAACTACAACATTTAACAGTGTGTTTATAACATGACAATTTCTGCCAATCAGGAAAACATCTTCTCTGCGTGTTGTGGCCACACTGTGGAGACAAGAAAATCTGCGAGAGAACCAGGCAATCAGAGTCGTAACAGAACCAGAACAAGCTGGACTCAGACCATCACTTCAGCAAACGATTCCCTCACAGAAACAAAACCAAGACCTGAGTTTATGGAAGACTTTAAAACTCTGTTTGCTGAGTCAGGTATTAGTTTAAAAATGTAAAAAAAATCCACTGATTAGCTGAAGACTTGCCAGAAAAAGTCAGTTTTAAGTGTTGAAGCTGCATAATGAAGGCTGCATCAGTCCAAAATAACAAAACTGCAGCGTCATGAACATCATCATCAACAAATGATCAAAAAGCAAAAAGGGCACAATTTAAATAGTTTCTAATATTTATCATGTAACATAGTTTGAATTTTAAGTCCACGTTGGTTTTAAAAAGTGAAGAATTTTATATGAGGTGCTTTATTTTACAAAAAAGTCTAAAATTGTTATAATTAATTTAAAGGCATATTTTCTGGTTTTAATTTAAGCCTTTCTACCTTTCTGTTCTACTTTACTGAAACAGTTCTTACTGGATTTTTTGTTGCAATTTGCACAAACAGATTCTATTAGTTTTGTTTGATTAACTAAATGTTATGATTGAGGTTTTATTCAGAAAAAAAAACTAAGAATTGGACAAGACTGTCCTTTCTTTGAAGCATATTTAAATAAAACCAAACAAAAAGAAAACATTTGAGCCTTGGAGAGCGAAGGGAGCTGACAGACCTGCTGCAGGGCGTGCTCATGCCTGCGGGCCTGGCTCTGCCGGGTTATGAAGGACCAGGTGGAGAGTTTGTAGTGGTTGAGCAGGCAGATGATCACCACCACCATCACCGTCATCACCACGATGATAATGACAATCTGAACAAACTCCAGTTCAGCTGCAGGAAAACAGAAAGAAACAAAGAGGGTTAGCATCAAACATTTCTGACAGACAAGAGTTTGGATCCCTGAAATACAACAACCCAGTTTTTAGTCTAGGTGTGAGGTAGAATGGTATATTCTGAAAACACACTATGAAATGAAACAAAAGGGAAGAAAAGGCTACAATTTAAAACAAACAAATTCACATTTACAGATTGTTTATAGTTTATTTATTAATATTTGATATAGCCTTTCATTTTATTTGTTATTTGTATTTTCTTCTTCTATTCCAGAGGTGCCCAAACATTTTTCCCGAGAGGGCCAACATGAAAATCTATCCACGGCTGTGGGCCAAATGCAGTAAAATAATACATGAAATACAAATACTTTTTAAGTAAAGTCCTTTATTTTCACCGATTAAGCTAGCAGTCGGTGCAATGGCCCTCTTTTGTTTTAGTCTGTTCACTTGGAGGAAGTCTGCCATACACTCGAGAAGCAAAGGCTCATGGGAGGACACATAAATACATGAAATACAAATACTTTTTAAGTAAAGTCCTTTATTTTCACCGATTAAGCTAGCAGCAGGTGCAATGGCCCTCTTTTGTTTTAGTCTGTTCACTTGGAGAACGTCTGCCTTACGCTCAAATAGCAAAGGCTCATGGGACATATCATAAATTAATAAAATATGAGTTTTTGTGGTCTTATAAAGTGTGCAAAACTACATGTGTGGTTAAATCTGATCTAAATATCTCTTGTTACTTCATGTTTCCCGTTTAATCCTAATATAGCAAAGAAAAGGTCAGCACCATGAATGAAAACTAGCTTCAGCCCTTTATATAGTCATTTGACTAATGGAAATACTGTGTTACATACGATGACAGGTTA